AATGTGCTCCGAACAAACGAGGAGAAGTGTTAGTAAATCCACTACTTTCACAAGAAAATGAGAGACAATGGGCGCTTCCAGTGCCGCGTTTTCGAGCGCACACCAGTCAATCGTATAAAAAAATTTTACTGCATTATACTACAAAGCCTTAAGAAAAAAATTAGCAAAACAGTACTCGCAGTCAAAAATAAAAAAAAACAGTACTGAGCGTGATGTATATGGGTTAGAAGGATTCAGTAAACAAGCAGAGCGATAAAAACTGAAAGTAATTATAATAGTAAGTTTTTCTGAAAAAAATTTTGATAAATTGTTTTAAAGTAAATAAATTTTAACTAATTTTTTGTTACTGGAGTAGTAGAGTTGAAAAGCTCTACACGAATTATATATACTACAAAAACAAATAAAATATTAGTGGAAACAGAGGGTCTGAAGTTTGCGAAAGCGCCAAAGTGCTGCTGAAATTAGAAGTTTCCCAGTGCTATCATCTATCGTACCATAACTCTGAATGCCAAAAAGATACCACTTTATGATTTTTGTATTTTGTGTAGAAAATATATAAGTCTCTGACGGTGAGCATGTTGAGGGTTAATCGCACTTTTTTTTTCTCTAGGGCGGTTTAACTTTGCCGTCAGCGCACTTTTTGAGGTAAACTCTTTTGATATCAAAATCCGGTATTGAGTGCTACAAATTGGCAAAAACGAAAAAAATCTGAGAGGTCGAGATGCGAACTTGTGCGATTTGGTTTGGAATGGCCCGAAAATAGATTTTATTCTAAAAATTTTTCAGATCTGCTTGCTTAGCGTTCCTTTATATATGAACTGCACGTTCTACAAAAAGTGAAACAAGACTTAACTACATTTGGCGGTTAATATTACTTCATTTCTGGTGACAAATAACGTGTTGTTTGGGCAACTTAATACACAGATTGGAAAAGTTTGTGACAAATTTATAATTATTGTTACCTCTTTCAAGGATACTTTGATTACAATAAATTTCTGACACACCGAAAATGGGAATTATTTATTGTGCTGTTTAGAACAACGGCTCAGAAATAGAGCAGTCTCGTATTTTTACTTCGCCGAGAGCAATAGTTTTTCAAACTCTAAAAAGCTACAAAATTAAAAAGGTAAAATTTAAGGTGTAGAAAATACATTTGTTCAGCAAATGTGAAATTTTCTTTTGACAGTTCTTTATTTAAGAAAATAAAAAGTATTAAGAGCAGATTTTAAAGTTTAGTTAACTTTATGAAATTGCTCTTTAGAATTGCTTTTTTTTCGTAAATGTTAATTCTACAAATTTCTCTTGTTTTTTTTTACTTGTGATTTTTTTAACTTAATTTTTGCTTTTGTATGCCAGTTATAATAATTTTCTGTGTTTTGCACTTGGTTCTAACTCTTCTCATATTTTTGTTCAGCTTGTGAAAGTGAAAAAGTCTTTGACGTTTTACTGTTCAGAAAAACTAAGTTCTATGTTGGCGCTGAAAATTTGTAAAGGTAGATTAGACGAAAAAAGTGATATCTAAGTGTTGCTTAGAATGCAAACTGAAAATATGAAAAGTGGTATAAGTCAGATTAGAAGTAAAGTTTGTTGCAAATACGCGATAGTTTTTAATAACGAATCAAAGTTTGGAAAGTCTTTAGACATTGATAAAGCAGTAAACAAAATAAAGAACATAGAACAGGTAAGAAAAAACAGAACCGTGACTATTACAAGAATTTAGAATTCCCGAAAGTTGGAAAAACTTGTTGAGGACAGTATTGAGAATGTTCTGTAAACAACCAGTGAGAAAATTTAAAGTCGTTCAAATTTCTGAGCGCCAACATAGAACTGAATCTTTTCAGAAAATCGTTGTAGTATACAAGAGTGGTGTACCACAATCTTCAGTTTTCTCGAGACCTTGAGAATACCGCCAAACATAATAAACTGAAAAATTTTATTGTTTGTAGACGCATTGAACAGCAGGCATAAAAAAAGTTGACATATTGGTTCACTAAATTGATGTTTGATACATTTTACTCAACTTTATAAATTTTGAAAAAACCTACTGCAATACTTACATGGTAAATTTTCTTCAACTTCGTCAAAGAATCTGTCAACAAAATCCTTGTTTGCAGTTCCTGAAAACTTAATTGTGTTTAGTAGGTGTTGGCTTAAGATTTATAGAATTATTTGACTTTACATCAGAAGAGGTTTTTTGAAATAGTTAATTTGAAAAAAAGATATCAATGTTTAGGCATTAAGCTTTATCGCTTATTGCGTTTAAAGTACCATTTCGCGGAAAAAAATCAAACGAAAAATTATGATAAAATTTTTTACTTGTTGATGATTTATCGTTGTTTATCATTGTGTCGAGACCTGCTGAAAAAATCTTTTGATAGAAGTGCTCTTTAAAAAATTAAATTTAATTTCAAACTAAAAAAAATTAAAAATTGAATCTTGGTAGTAACGCTATAATTTCCATAAAGCATGCAGAACAGCAATAGTTATAATTAACTATCAAAAAAATAAAGCGTTGAGAACGAATGATTACTTGTTGATGGATAGATAAGACTGTAAATAAAAGCTTTCCTAAGCAACGATGAAAGTTCACTGTGTGTTCTGTTCATTTAAATTTTTCATAGAAATATCGGTATAGTTTTCAGACTATCAGAAAATGCTTCAAATTTCTAATAGTTAATATACCTATTCTATTGGTTGTTGCAACAGAACTTGTCGATTTTAAGTTATCGTTTTAAAATAAAGTAATTTGAAGTTCTAAAACATAGAATTCTAGTATGCTTAATATAGTTAGAGTAAACTAGGATAAAACTATGCTGATTGTAAGTTTTTAAAAAATGAAAGAAGTTAAGTGACAGTTTGTATTATAAAATTGTTAGAATGGCAGCTGATATTACTTAGCAGTTTTATCTAACTTTTTGCTGTTATAAAATATTCTTTCTAATGTAAAATTTTGAAATAGCTCTAAACATAGAATTGAGTTAGTTTTTGTTAAGCAGACGTCATACTGATACAATAAATTTTTTATCAGATATTATAAAAATTTCTTTGGATTAGCTGGTAAAGAAAGAATTCAATTTTAAATCTGTATAGAACATTCTGAGTTAGAGAGCAAACATTAAAGTTTTGCAGTAACTTACCAAAGTCGGGACGATCTAAGCTTTTAATTATTTCATTGGTATATTGGCGTAACTTGTTTACTGAAACAGTACATCAACAAATTTAGTAAAATTTTAGGAAAATATTTTTAAGAATAAACGTTATAAAAAAAATTGTTTACAGTAGTGCGGTACCTGTTTTACCCTCCAATTGATATTTCTCTTTTCCAATCAAAAACAATCTATGTTTAAGAAACTTAGTATTGGCTAAAATTTTTCAAAATTTCTTTTTCATATGTATATCATTCTGCACACAACTAAACATCAAACTTTAAATTTATGTTAAGAACAATATCGTAAACAAAATTAGTCGTCAACAAACTCTAAATTACTAATCAAAAACAGCTTACCATCGTGTCCGGGATAGATGAAAAATTGGTCTGAAGAGACGAACACTAAAAGCATAACAAAATAATCAGTAACAATACAGTGAAAACTAAAAATTGTAGATAATCAAAAAAGTTTCAGTTGGTTAAATGCGTATCAAATGTAATTGGCAAAGCTACGGTCAAAACTTAAATCTATAAATTAACTTCTTCTAATTACAAAGCACACAACTTACTCATAACTGGTAAAATTTGTACTTCAATAAACTAATTATTTATTAACGAGCATTAATCTGAGGTGCCGAAGATACATTTAAAAAAAAGACAGAAATACTTGAACTGCAGTAAACCCAAAGCTTAGAAAAAGTATGAGTTTGTAGCTTTCATCGTACTCAACGTTGACAACTTTGAACCTCTAAGATATCTATGACCGTAACTCAGCAAAAAAAGCCTTTGAACTAGTTTATAAAAAAAAAACTACCTGCTGCATAGAATAGAATCAATAGGCAAATAATCATTTTTTCCAACGTTTTCAGACTGAATTCTTTTTACCATTTATTACAATAAACTGTTTGTTTCTTATCAAATTATTTGTTCATTTTAACAATTGAAGAATTTTTCAATTTAAAAAAGAAACTTTCAATAAATTTATTTTTATTTAACATATACATCTAAATATTTTTTTCTTTTAGCATTGTGTTAGAATTATTGTGACGTATTGAAATAACGAACCAGAAGAAAAAAATTTTTGCTTCTTAACAGAACAAAACGAAGCAGACGAACACTGATAAGTATTGTAGCTGTAGCAGTTTGAAAAGCTTAATTAATTTATAGAGGTTCTTATTTTTTTTGGTAACATAGCAAAAGTATAAAACATTGAATTACATAAATGCAGGATCAAGAGAAAATAACCGCAAAGTTCAAGCCTAGTGTGTCTTTTATTAGGCGGTCAATACTTGTGACACTTAGCCTTTCTTGATTGCCATTTTCTATCTATCTATCTTAAGCCATCTTTTCAGAGTGAAATTTGGGTGATCTATAAATGTCAAAATCACTTGTTAAACAATGGCTTGCTGTTTAAAGTAAAATTTCTGTTAATTTACATAAAGGAAAGCATGAGCGAGGTAAACGCATATGGCTTAGCCAACAAATAATAAATTCAATAGTTTTGTTTTTTACATTGATCAAAAATTGGTTTTCCTTTTGTTGCTGTTCAAAACATTTTCAAGAGCTATATGCTATAATGTTGGAAGTTTTTAGCTTCTCCAGTGACGACAAATGCCATAATTGTTTTATCGTGCTTGAAAAAGAAAAAAGTTAAATTTTAATTTTTTACCTATCTAATGCCTTATCAGCTTGTACAGAAATCAACAAACTATTTTAGCAATAAAATGTCAAGTTTTGACAGCGACACGTACGGTTTATTAGCACATCAAAACAGTCTTGAAAAACCTACAACAATCAAAAGAAACAGATATAATCTGTAAAAATAAAAAAAGCAATAAATTATTTCAGAGCTTTAGTAAAGTATATAGTTATATGGATAATTTATTTGAGTAGCCAAGCGGTTAAAGTATCTTCGCAGGAGAGAAGTTGCAAGCATAGATTTCAATGACTGTAGTGATTCTTCTGGAGATGCTACGACGTTTACCTTATAGTTTTGAGGTTCAACGGATGCAGCTGTAACTTTTGGTACATTAACATCAAGTGTGATCCTTGATGCAGTAATCGTCTCAGTCGGATTTTTTCCTTTTACCTTTACTGCACTTTTCATAAGTTCCGTGTCTTTCCTTAAATCACTTGATACCACTATCGTTGATTTCTGTAACTTTTCTTTGCCAATTTTGTTACCTTTCGCAGGAAGGAAATCTCGCCTATCTAAAAATAGTCTTAGAATAAATCTAAAAAAAAAGAAGAAAAATACATTAATTAAGTTAAACGCGCTGCTATCATAGCTGCTAAAAAAATTTTATTTGAGGCTGTCATAAGTCAGCATAATTTGAAAAAAAATCACTTACGCTGCAAAACAACAATTTTTTTAGTTTATCAAGTTAACAAGCTGAAATTACCTTTAAGATGTTTGAAAGGAATATAAGGACTTTTTGTTCTATAGTCAGTCACAGGTAAATTGCGAGCATTATCTTTTTCTTCTGCTTTGCTAGTAAACTGTTCAGGTGATTGTTTAAGTGTCGGCTTTTTTGCAAAAAATTCATTTTTGTCAAAATCGGCTAAAAAACGTTATTCTTAAATAAGTTTTAAAATTTGTTTTTGTATTTTTAAATAATAAACCTTGGTAAATGTTTAATTGAATTACCAAATATTTTACGGTTAAAATTGTTGAAACTGTTAGCCATCATCTGAGCATGGAAAGAATCTAAAAAGCTTTACTTTATTCTCCAGGAACTACTGTGTTACTAAAGACTCTATTATACTGTGTGCAAATATCATTGAGGATACTAAATTATTCAATTATTTTTTGTACCGGTGCTAAATACCAAAAATAAATGAGAGCAAACCGATCCTTCTTCACACTGTTGACGTCGAGCAATAGCTCGATAAAGTTGCGCTCGTTCATAGTAACTTTGGTCATCTTTTTCGTCGCTGTCTTGAGCTCTCCACAGTTCCTGCGGTGTGTCTTCATCTGTGGTCGGACTTCGAACAGTCTTTAATGGCGACATGTACATTGCTTCGTCTTTGAAATCATTACTATGCGACATAATTTCTACAAGAGAAAACATTGAGCAGTTTCAAGAAAGCGAATAAGTTTGAAAATCTGCAGCACTACTACTTCAGCCTTTGTTTTTTTTTTTTTTTTTTTT